GACTGCAGCACTCCAGGCTTCCCTGTCCATCCCAACTCCTGGAGCTTGCTCAAATTCGTGTCCATTGAGTTGGTGATGCCATGCAACCATCATCCTCTGCTGTCCCATTCTCCTGCCTTCAATCTTTCCCAGCATCAGGGTCTTTTCCAGTAAGTCAATTCTTTGCATCAGGTGGCCAAAGTATTGGAGTTTCAGCTTCAGCATCAGTCCTTCCAATGAGTATTCAGGGTTGATTTCCCTTAAGATTGACTGGTTTGATCTCCTTGCAGTCCTAGGGACTCTCAAGAGTCTTCTCCAGCAGCCAATCCCAGCTCTGTTATTACTTTGTTAATTTATTCACTTTATGTTAATGCTTTCTGGAAGATCTGGTTCAAACTGATAACCTCTGGAACTTAGTTTTCTCATCTCTGAACTGGGGATAAAAGGAATTTCAGATAGTCGTCATGATGATTAAATGAATTAATATCTGTAAAACAGTATCAGAACTCTTCTCTCGCCTTTGATCCCTTGTGTCTTCCCGTATGCCCATTCCTAAAGGAAGCTGGGGTTCAGCACCTCAGTTTTCTTCTCTCATGTAAGTTGAATGGGGGAAAACCCACTTCTACTAGTCTGGGAAATGAAAACCTTATTTCCTGCCATGTATAGAAAATTACTTTGAGTCGGAGTGCCTTGCCACTGTCTAAGGGCACATTTTTAGACAACAGCTTGCACTGATGAGCTTAATTTATGAGGAGCTAAGTATTTTGCATGGGGTAGGAACTTGTGCTTCTCATGTCAGAACTTGTGTCTTGCCAAACCTCAGGCCCTTTTGTATGTTTGTCAGTTTTGTTTCCCACTGTTTAACTAAAAGGAGTTTCTTCGTAAGATCTGCTAGAACTTGCCGTGTGTCTGTGTGAAAGATTATATACAAAGATAAAAATTAACCAAGAATGAAGTTGGGTTATTAAGATCCAAATGAAACCAAGTCCTAGTTTCCATTGACAACATCAGGGGTGGTTGTACGGGAAAACTGTCTTAGGGACTTACTGAATAAATCTGAAATAGCCAAGTATCCTTCAGGATTGTGCAAACTGAAATTTGGTTATTTTTTTCCATTCCCTCTAAAGACCTACAACTATTTTTTTTTTCCTTTGGCTTGCGGGATCTTAGTTCTCTGGCCAGGGATTGAAGCTGGGCCCCCATCAGTGAAAGCGTTGAGTCGTAACCACTGAACAGCCTGGGAATTCCCAGCCTGCAACTATTAAAATTGCTCATTTGCAAAGTAAAAGCAAGAAGGTTTTTATAAAGAGGCAAAACAAACAAACAAACAAAAAAACCAGTGAGGAAGTCTTTGATTCTTCTGTTGTCTGTGTACCCTTTTCCTGTTCAGAACAGTTGGTGAGCGTTTGCATTTGGAATGGGCCACGTGTGACTGTTGAAGGGCAAGTGAAAAGTATGCCAATTTTGATTCCTTTGTGAATGCTGGAAGAGGAAATGAGTTTTAACCTGCCTTGAGATTGACTTACTCATCTCATTGCTGTTTATAACAGACCAGAAAACTTTTATTCATCTGCATAGATGAAGGTCAGGAGTCTTTAAACTGGAGACTGGGGTTTAAGTCCTGGACCATTAAGTAACTGTGACCTTGACAAGTGGTTTCACTTTTTAGAATTAGTTTCCTCCATGATGAGGAAGTTGAACTAGATTGCAGGTCTCTTCTAACTCTAAAATTTTATGATGCTATATTAAGCACATTTGCTCCTTTTTACACAATAGTATAATTGACTGCTGCCGACCTATTAAGTAAGTTCTTCTGGGAGATACTAACCAGGCCTAGTCATTTGAGTTCCTTATTTAAGATCTGTCTCTAAGCTGGTGGCATTAGAGTTACAGAATCGTAGGAATTTTGTGAAAACTTGTATAAATGAGTAGAATAGCTCAAATTGTTCAGCTCTTTAAAAAAAAAGGCCCTCTGCAGATGGAGGAACTTTGGGAGACTGCTTATTTTCTATTTATCTATGTAACAGGAACAGAAAATAAGTCTTCGTTCAAACTGAACTGTGCAGAGACACTCATAATTGCAGGCCGATGCGTCATGGCTCAGCATTCCGTCTTAAAAAGACGTCTAATGCTCTAGATCTCCTTGCTTTGCTTGGGTTTTGTCACCCTCCCCCTCCTTTCAAAAACAGCTGTAGACTTTTGAAACTCTGGGTACAACTTGTGTTTGGTACTATGTCATATATGCTTCAAAATTTAAAAACATGTAATTTTCGAGCACAGAATAATTTTTCAAAGGGTTATGTCTCTTTATTGACATCCTATTCTGACTTTATTTGGCAGGCACCCTTAACTGAGTGTTGAATCATTTAACATTCTACTTCTGACTTTGATGGAAAGATGTAAAACTTTCTGTTTACCTTCAGCATTCTATTGTGTGGTAGTCTCAAACCAACACTTCAGATTGGTAGACTGACTTTATAAATTCCTTGATAAGGGCTCTACCAGTTAGAAATCGAAAGTACAACTTCCTTGTAGCACCATTTGAATTAAGAGGCCAATTAATTTTCTGATCCTTCCCTGCTTGTGTCAGCCCTTAAGTGTCTAAATGGGTTTTTCACATTGATCATTTTAGGCAAACAGTGACTGCACTATTTTCATCTTGTGTACTTTATCCTTGGCTAGAGATGTGTAGTTTGTGTTTTTAATCTTTGTGTTAATTTTAAGGCTGTCGGAGTCTGGCCTGTTTAAAAAGTTATATATTGTGTATGAAATATATATATAAATACTTACCTAGATAAGTTTCAGTAAAAATGAATCTTTGCGGTCATCCAGTACAATAAGGTGGCAAAAGGCTAAAGGAGACCCAGAATTTTGCCTCCTGGACTCTTCATAAACACCAGTATTTCCTCAAGGATTTCCACCCCAGAGTAACCTAGTTCTTTGACATTTGGGTGGTCCTGTAGCTGTTGTCACTCTGGATAGCAAGGGTTACTCAGGGGTTGGAAATCTTTGAGGAAATACTGGTGTTTATAAATAATTCTTTTGACAATGGAATTTTAAAAAAAGACATGTCTTTAATTCTGGATAAATATTTGTTAAATAATCTACCATGTGAAAGGCACATTGATCTGAAGTCAACAAGTGAAGACAGTGAGGATCATGGTTTGTTTTTTTGTTTTTTTTTTTTGACAAACCCCCTCCCCGCCCCATGTGGGATCTTAGTCCTCTGACCAGGGATGGAACCCATGCCCCCTGCAGTGGGAGCGTGGGTTGCCAGGGAAGTCCTGTAAGGACCATATTTTTAAGGAATAGCTGCTAATGCACTTACTCAGATACATGTCTCCTGGGAGTTAGTATAAGTCAACCCTATAAAAACAAGGTGGTTAAGTTGGTAGATGTGGGACTGAATGGAAGTACTGAAAAGCGGCATTGCAGTTAAGTTGGTATTTTTTACATTTTCATTTTACTCCTGTCTCCCATGTCTCCTTTTCTCTCCCTTTAACTTGCATTATTGTTTTGTGTCATGCTTTATAATGATTTCTGAAAAGTATAAATTTAGCACTCCATGAATATGTTATTAGCAGCTCCATCTTCAGCTTGTGGATTAACCGTAAACTTATCAAAAGCAGTACCAAAGTAACTTGGATGAATTGTGAGAAAGGCATCAGGCAACTTTAAGTCCTTAGAAGGTTTTGTGTCTTTAGCCACGTGCTCTTTGGAGAATGCTTGTAATCTTCAGGCTAGACTGAGATGCTGCTTTTTCTAATTTATATGAGAAATTAAAGAATGAATAGCAGTTTTCTGTTTCAACTTTTACCTTGTATAGGACTTCTTAGTTTAAGTCTTAGTCTCCTGCTGCTATGGATGTCTTAAGATGTTTCAGACTCTGTACTGTGTCTCAGTATTTCATGGTATTCTCTTTCTTTTAATATTTATTTTGTTTATTATTTATCTGGCCATGTTGGGTCTTAGTTGCAGCATTTGGGATCTTTGATCTTTGTTGTGGCAGGAGGGATCTTTAGCTGTGGCCTGCATACTCTTAGTTGCAGCATATGGGATCTAGTTCCTTGACCAGAAATCAAACCTGGGCCCCCTGCATTGGGAGCACGGAGTCTTAGCCACCGGACCACCATGGAAGTCCGTTGATGGAATTCTTTAAGGTGTTTCCAGATGCTCTGGCCTCCTGAGCAAATACCAGACACTGCCTCCCTGCCCCCCTATCCTCACCTTTAGACATATTGCACGGCAGGACAGTCAGCTCTCTGGAAGATGGATTCTCTCGTTTCCTCTCATTCTACAAGGGAAAGTGGCAATCTTTCACGTCTTGTGAATGTTTATTTTGGGGAGGGTTGTGTGACTTTTCCTCTGGCTGGTCTTCCCCGCTAGCCCCTGGTGTTGGAATGCTCTGCTGGAGGTGGTGGAATAAGAAACAGAGGGGCCATCTGGATCTCTGCCTCTGTCATCACCCAGCCTTAGCAGACTTACCTCTTGCTTTACCCTTTAAGCCAACCGCTTAGCTGCTGCTAAAACCAGATGCCTCCAGTTCTCTGCTCACCCTTTATTCTAGTTTATCTCACTTGGTGTTGCAGTGATGTGAAGCAGTGGCTCTTTCGTGGCCTGTGCCCTAAACTGTGTCTGGTGACATCACACACATTTTCTCTCTGTTCTCGGGGCAAGCTTCCAGGAGGCCTGAACCTTAGGATGACCGCAGGTGGCTCCATGTCACTCATCACTGTTCCAGCACATTGAACACTTGCCAGATACTCTGTCCCAGAGGGGATGTGCCTCTCTTCATCCCACAAGATGTGTTCTGTGTCTTCATTCAGTAGACTGACACGCTTCCCCGGTGTTGATACTTGGGACAGTGCTTTTTCCTCTCCGAGTCTTACATTTTAGCCACTAGACTATCTCTAAATCAAAGCCAACTTACTAAAGTTCACGGGGGAAGGAACAACAGATGAGTAGGGAATGAAAAACTGACAGTGAGGTCTCATCCTTGGCCCCTCTTTCTCTCCTATTAGGTTTCCCCTCCAGTCTCTGGTCCTGTCTCTCCGCATGTTCTCACTCCACACTTCCCCGGATCTGTGTTGGCTTCCTGCAGTAAGAATGCCAGAAGCAGCTGAGCGTGGAGCCACCTCAGTAGAAAGATGCTTTCACTCGCCTCTTTGTACTTGAAATGCTGCCTCCTGCTCCATCGCCCTTAAATCTGCCAGGTGCTACCTCTCAGGTTCCCTTCTTGTATCCTGAGACACACTTATTAAATTTTCATCTGTAACTCAGTCTCTGATCTTTGCTTTGAGTTTTGCGTGGGTGTGTTTTTAAACTGTGTTGAGCCATGAGTTTTACTGGGCAGTGCCTTGCGCTATAAGCAGGACTTCTTCAGGCATCATGTATCCCTGTCAAATAGATATTTCAAAGGTCCTCTTACTGGAAATGTCATTTTTTTTTCATCTTTATCTTAAGAACAACTAAATTATTCACAGCTTTCCATTCAAGAGCTTATCCATTTTTCCTTTCACACGTGTGCTGTAATGTAGTTGTTGTTGCTGTGTTGTATTAGTTGCTTAGTGGTGTTTGACTCTTTGCGACCCCGTGGACTGTAGCCAGGCTCCTATATCCATGGGATTCTCCAGGCAAGACTACTGGAGTGGGTTGCTAGTCCCTTCTCCAGAGGATCTTCCGGACCCAGGGATCGAAGCCAGGTCTCCTGTATTGCAGGCAGGCTCTCTACTGTGTGATCCTCCAGGGATGCCTGTAATGTGGTAGGAAAGATGAATGTTGCATACCCAGGGGCACTCGGATATCTGATTGGCAAGTTCTTCATCTATGTCAAGGGGAGAGCGTCCTTATAGTCTGCCTTACACGTAGTTCTAGAGCCGCACTGCCCAGTGCAGTAGCCATAAGCCATGTATGGCTGTTGGCAAGTCCAAGTCGAGATCTGAGTATAAGATACATAATTGGACCTTGGAATATTACTCAGCTGTAAAAAGGGAAAAATTGTCATTTGTAGAGATGTGGATGGACCTAGAGTCTTCATAATAAGTCAGAAAGAAAAAAAAACAAATACTGTATATTATCTCATACATACGGAATCTAGAAGAATGGTACAGATGAACCTGTTTGCAGGGCAGGAATAGAGACATAGACATAAGGATGAACTTGTGGACACAGAGGGGAAGGGGAGGGTGGGACAAATTGGAAAAGTGGCATTGACATATATCCAGTACCATGTGTCAGGTAGGTAGCTAATGGGGAGCTGCTATATAGCACAGGGAGCTCAGCTTGAGGAAGGCTCGCGAGGGAGGGTGTATATGTGTACATACAGCTGATTCACAGTGTAAAGCAATTGTCCTCCAATAATAAAATGAAAAAATAACACAATTGGATTTTGACCTAATATAAAAAGAAGATAAAATAACTGATTAACAGTTTCATATTGATTACATTTGAAGTCATATTTTGCATATATTTGGTTAACAAAAATAGGTTATTAATTTCACCTGATATTTAAAATTTTTAAATACATTGATTAGAAATTTCAAAATTTGTCTCACATTTGTCTCACATTTGATGTCTGTTGCAAAGAGCCAGTATCTCTGTGTCCACAGAGGAAATCTAATTCGAGACTTCTGGCTCTTACACAGCATTCACTGGAGGTGGTAATTGAATCGTTTGCCCAAAGCCTCACTGGTCTACTTTTTGAAGGAGATCCCAGGGTTGGGAAACCCTCTAATGTTGTTGTCTTCATCAGATGCTTAGAAGGTGAGATACAGGTTGCTTCAGGTTGAAAATCCCAGTATTGCATCATTTTAGGGGTTCTTGTTTTGTTGAGTCAGTTCAGGACTTTTTAAAACTCTTACTGTGTATCAAGTACTTTTTTAGGCTCTTTGGATGCAGAGACCAATTTCATCCCTGACCAGGAGAAACTTAGTCATCTTACAGTGTACAAAGCAAACTGATTCATCATTCAGTTATAGAAGACTGCATGGTGGCTCGGGCAGTCCAGAGAAAGAGAGAGGGCAGGACTCTCAGAAGAGACTGAGAGAGGAGATGATGTGCTTGCTTTTATTCTGCTAGAGTCATTTCCTGTGTCCCCCGGAAGCCCTGGCATGAGGGGATGAGCAGTGGAATATGGGCCTTGGGTGCATAAACAGGCATGACTCTGCATTTGCCATATGAGGACTTTCACCTCAGTTCAGCTGGGAGATGAGAACTGTTTCACTTGGCCCAGGCAAGCCCATCAGCTTACTGATTGGGTTTTGATATCCTCTGTGAAGCTGAAAACACTTGACTTACCTTGTTTTACCCAGGAATTGAAGAAAATGTATAAATGAACTTCAGCTCTAATTGTGTTTTATGTATGTACAGACATATCAGTGTGAATGAAACTGAAAGATGGAAAAAACTGAGTAACTTGCCTTTCCTTGGTATAAATACAAGTCAATCTGGAAAGTGACCATAGTGTTGTGTAAGTGTGTTCAGTGGGTGGAGCAGGGGAGCTCAGGTTACACAGCGTCTCCCATGGTGGGTGGGGAACGGCCAGTGACACAGCAGACACATAACCGCGACTTCAGGGGACGGGATTAGGCTGTGAATGAAGCTCCCGGTCTCGGGAACATGGTATTAAAACACAGCCATGTGAGTTTTTGTTTCTAACGTGACTTGAAAATCAGCTTCAGAAACATTTTTTCTCTCAACTAGGCTTTGCCTTATTCTCAGAACTTCTCTTCCCCTTCCCTTCTAAGTGCATAGACTTTTAACATTTTAGAATTAGACGGACGCTCAGAAGTCTCAGCGTGCAGCCGCCTGCAGCTAAGACACTTAACCTGCCTGATGCTCCATCTCTTCCCGGGCGCCCAGCAGGGCTGAGCAGAAATCCAAGTGCCCAGGTGCCCACTCTGCTGTTGTGGGCGCCTTGTTTCTGGAGGTTCAGCATTAAACTCCCTCTCCTGGCAGGTTAAATTCATTGCAAATTCTTCAACTCTTCCTTGGCCTCCCAGCCGAACTTCTAAATTTCGTAAATATAGTATTTTTGTTTTGCTGATGGGCTGTGAAGGGGCTGAAGGGAAGTGCAGGAGATCTGATTTGCCTCGCAGGATGCTGGAGAGCCAGAGAAGAAGCAGTGCCTTTGGGAGGCTGATCTTATTAGGTGTGGTTCTTTCTTCCCCAACAGCAGGATACTCTTAACTCTGGCAAAGTTGAAGTCACTGTAGCTTTCCTTTCACTTTTGAATCCTTGCTCTTTCACTTAGGGAGTTTGTATTTGAATCCAAAACAGTAGAACTACAAAAGGACAGACTTAGAAACTGATCTTATTTAATGAGTTATCCTTAGCATGCCGTGTTCCAGGAAGGGGTTAAGTGCTAGCTGAAGGTCATCCAGCTGGGACAGAATCCAGCTATCTCATTTCCCAATCTAACCCTCTTCTCATACTTTTCTTTTTTTGGAGCCACATTTTTTTTTTTTTCACATTGAAAAAAAAAATAGTAAACAAAAACAAAACCCACAAAGCAACAGCAGAAGAGGGAATAAGACCTTAGGAAATCAGATAAGAGTTATGAAGATGATTATTCCTTTTCACTTGGACTTATAATTTACACTATGCTTGTTGTGGGGGACTGCTTCTTTTGAGGAACTTCTCGTTTCTGTAAAGTGCTTAAGCTTTTTTCTTTAGGTTATGGGGGTGAGGAAAAAGGTGGAGTTTGAACTTTACTAAAGTATCTTCTATAATAAAAACTTCTTATTGTGGACAGTTTCATTCACAAATGTAAACAAGTAGTCCCATCACCACCTAACTCTTGAACATTTATCAACTCACCATCAGTCTTATCTTACAATCACACTTGTGTTCTTTAAACATATTTTTGCTCTTGCCAGTACAATGTCTTTTTGCTTTTTAAAAAACACAGTACTTTTACTTGTCTTTCATATAATCATGCTTTTTGTAGTGTGAAGCATTTCTGTCTCAGGAGCTTATCCTCAAAATTATTTTGAGTTTACTTAGCTGAGATGTTTTCCAAGGTCTCAGCAGAGTTTTGATCTCTTTGTCACTTGATAGGAAAAGCTAGCTGCTGTAACAAACTCCACTAATTTTAATGACTTAAATGGGTAGAAGTTTATTTTCAGTTATAGAAGAATCAGGGTAGGTATTTCATGGCGGGGGAATGAAGAAAAGTGATACAGGAGTTCAGGCTTCTTTAGTGTCCTCCATCCATGCTTTTGAAGTCACCCTACTTATCTCCATCAAGCCACCAGGAAGGCCAAGAGTGGGAAGATTTTATGGGAAAGACCTAAAAGTATACATGTTGCAGACCCTGTTCTTTTTCCATTGGCTATGACTCAGTCACACGGTCACACTGAGCTGCAGAGGGAGCTGGGAAATATGGCCTGTGACTCCAGGAAGAGAAAGAAGTAGGCTTGGTAAACACCGAGCCTGTCCGCCTGGGTACCCACTTCTTATTGCTTACACTGGCTTGTTGTGCTGGTTTCTTTTTCCTGTGCACACAGCACACTAGAGTCTGCTTTCTCACTCCCTGGCCATAACCCATTTTCAGTTCCGTTTAGTTGCTCAGTCATGTCTGACTCTTTGCGACCCCTTGTACTGTAGCACGCCAGGCTTCCCTGTCCATCACCAACTCCCGGAGTTTATTCAAACTCATGTCCATTGAGGCGGTGATGCCATCCAACCATTTCATCCTCTGTCATCCCCTTCTCCTCCTGCCTTCCATCTTTCCCAGCATCAGGGTCTTTTCCAATGAGTCAGTTCTTCACATCAGGTGGCCAAAGTACTGGAGTTTCAGCTTCAGCATCAGTCTTTCCAGTGAATATTCAGGACTGATTTCCTTTAGGATGGACTGGTTGGATCTCCGTGCAGTCCAAAGGACTCCCAAGAGTCTTCTCCAACACCACAGTTCAAAAGCATCGATTCTTTGCTGCTCAGCTTTCTTCATACTCCAACTCTCACATTCATACATGACTACTAGTAAAACCACAGCTTTGACCAGACGGACCTTTGTTGGCAAAGTAGTGTCTGCTTTTTAATGTGCTGTCTAGGTTGATCATAATGTTTCTTCAGGGAGGGCCTTAGGAAGCAGCCCATTTTATTGTGACTCAAAAAAAGTCATTAAAAATCTTTTTCCTGGGACTTCCCTGGTGATCCAGTGGTTAAGACTCCACACTTCCAGTACAGGGTGTGGGTTCAATCTCTGTTTGAGGAACTGAGATCCCACCTGCTGTGTGTCTTGGCCAAAAAAACAAAAAAAAATTTTTTTTCCTGCTTAAGTAATTTTATCTGTTCATTAAATAAAATTTGAGAAATCCAAGAAAATCCAAAGGAGGTATAAATAATTATATTTGTTCATAAAATAAAATTTGAGAAACCCAAGAAAACACAAAGAAGGTATTAAAACTACCAGTAATCCCATCACCTGGAGATAATGATTATTAATCCTTTGTTACATTTCCCTCCAATTTAAGAATGCTTAAACTCATTGGAAAAGACCCTGATGCTGGGAGGGATTGGGGGCAGGAGGAGAAGGGGATGACAGAGGGTGAGATGGCTGGATGACATCACCGACTCGATGGACATGAGTTTGAGTAAACTCTGGGAGTTGGTGATGGACAGGGAGGCTTGGCGTGCTGTGATTCATGGGGTCACAAAGAGTTGGACATGACTGAGTGACTGAACTGAACTGAATTGAACCACTTAGAAATAACAATAAAATGTCACTAGTTCTTTGTTTGTTCTGGGTTGCAAATTCCAGAACTCCTGGGGTGGTGGGGAACCACAACAATGACAACAATCTGGCAATTTTGGATTTTCCTAGCAAAGAGACACTGTGCAGAACAGTGGTGAGGCTTTGTATTTCTGGCATTTTCTTTTCCTTTAAAAAAAAAAAAAAATTCTTGTTTATATTAAGGGCTTCCCTGGTGGCTCAGATGGTAAAGAATCTGCCTGCAGTGTGGGAGACCCGGGTTCGATTCCTGGGTCAGGAAAATCCCCTGGGGAAATTATTTTTTCAAATAATTTTATTTATTTGGTAATTTTTGGCTGAGCTGGGTCTTGGTTGCTGCTCACAAGCTTTCTCTGGTTGCGGCAGGCTGGCGCCACCCTTCCTTGCGGTGCATGGGCTTCTTACTGTGGTGGCTTCTCTTGTTGCGGAGCACAGGCTGTAATGCACTGGCCCGGTTGTTGTGGCCTGTGGGCTTAGTTGCTCCTTGACATGTGGAATCTTCCCGGACCAAGGATCAAACCCACGCCCCCTGCACTGACAAGCGGATTCTTATTCATTGCACCACCAGGGAAGTCCTGGTGAAGTCAACCTCTAGCTTACACATCAGTAGCCTCCAAATTCTTAGTAAGTAAATATTGGACTTGGTGAAGTTAGGGATGTAGTGGAGTGGCGAGACCAAGATGACAATTTTAAGTTCATGATTTACTTCCGCCTCGGTTTTCAGAATTCTTAAACATAGCTTAATTTCCCAGGAGAGAATACTAAGAAAAAGTGTTTGAAACTGAACCGAAATAACAGCTTGCAAACTTGAAGTATATAAAAATATGTGCCTGGTGGTGAGCTAAATCCTTAGCTTAGGGGGATGTGCTGTTCTCTCTCTCCTGCATTGCCCGTGCTGGTCTGTAGTGGAGAACGAGCTGCTTCATTTTACACAGGACGATGTTTCTTGGGAGAAGGTACTTTTTTTGAGTTATCAGCTCCAGATTCAAGGCTACAGAACCTCCTGGTTTTCCTTTAACGTGGTGAGGTGGCATCCTAGAGGCTGACCTGCATCAGAGTTCCTGTTTGTGATTTCAGCATCATGACCTCACAGCCAGGATTGCTCAAAATACTTGCCCAGCTCCTGCCAGGATATGAGCTGAGACCTGGCCCGATTCTGGAGACCCCGTGAGGTATTGGTTTGTCTCTTTTTGCTGGATTTGTGTTGAATTTTCTACAATTCAGTAGATTAAAAAGTAAAGACGTTGACATTGGGCCCTCTCTATTTATTGAAAAAAGAGTGTACAATGGTAAGAAGATCACCGTTTTAAAAGCACTTCTGGCAGGACATTTGAAAACAAAACGCAATAGAAGAGCAGAAATATTTTAACCGTGTGGATGGGTATGTGGTTCACCAGTGGCTCTGTTTGCTCTGAAATTTGCTGTCTGTTTTCCCATTCCCTGCAAATAAACATAACAAGTTTTTGTTCTGTGGAAATGTATCTGTAGCACCAGCCGAGTAATAGTTTGCAGTGATTAGATTTGTTTGTTAGTGGTATAAATTATTTATGACCCGGAGGCCTGAATTCTGATGCCTCACAATTGAGAAGTTGTCGTCGTTTGGTTTTGAATGTATTACTTTGCTCTTTGAACATGTTTTAGTTGGAGTTGGAAGAAAAGGTGGTGGTCCACACAGATACCCAGAAATCTAGTCTCTGAGAGTTAATACATAATAGAATTTTCTAAAGAATTGTCTGTCTTTAAACAGACAAAAACTTCAGGAACCCGTGTTCCTGTGTGTTGGGTGTTAAGCACTTGATAAATTAACCCCTCCTATTTTTTTTAATAGTCTTTTTTTGGGGGGTTTCACCCCAGGAATCGAACCTGTGGCCCCTACAGTGGGAGCTCAGAGTCTTAACCACTGGACCTCCAGGTAAGCCCCTCGCCCGGCTATTTTTTATTTACGTAGATATTGGGCCCTTTCCCTTAGTTTGGTTTCATGAGTTTGAATTGAGAGATCACGTGGCCAAAATTCTGTTGCTGTTGTCATCGCTTTTTCTCCCCGCAAAGCATGTCAGTATCTGAGAGACTCAACATTCCAGTTTCTGGATTAAACCTCTTTTTAAAGCATTGTTCTGTGTGTTCTCCATTTTTTTCTCCTCTATCACAGTCACATGGCCCTATTTTCCTAAACACATACGACCTAGAGTCTCAAAACACTTAACTCTTTGAGACTGGGAGCCCTTTTTAACTTCACTTGGTGTGTTCCCTTCCAAATGTGTCTGAGGAGTCTCTTGGACTGGGATGTCTTTAACGCAACTTTTTAGTTTTTAATTATTTGACTGCTGAATCTTAGTTGTGGCACGTGGGATCTAGTTCCCTAATCAGGGATCGAACACGGGTCTTCTGCATTGGGAGCACAGAATCTCAACCACTGGACCACTAGGGAAGTCCCAAGACAACTCTTTGGAAATGAGTCGTCCTCTACATGTAGGTTGTAGACCCCCTAAATCACCAAAGTGAGTTTTATCTACGGGTACAATTTGGAACTCCTGTTTAACTGCTTTAGGTCAGTGTTCACTGTTGAAAATATTTCTGTGCNTAAAAAAAAAAAAAACTAGCCCCTATCTTTGGCAGATTATTATCTGTTCTATCTGAGAGTACCCAGAAAAAAACAACAACAAAAAAAACAACAATAAAAACCCTCCACAAACAGAAACTCCAGTCTCCCTTTCTGTGTAGGGTAAAGGGATGCTCAGATGCTCAGCACCCACTCTCAGCCAGCCAGGCCACTCTGCTCCCCAGGCTTTGTGTGATTCACTCCTGCTGATCAGACCTCAGACTAGATGTCAGCTCCTCCAGGAGGCCTTCCCTGACTCTTCTACCCAAAGGCATTATTTCTTCCACAGCACTTAGACCACCTGAAATGACTTGGTGTGTCTAACTGTCTGCTTCTCTACCTCTAGACTCTGAGCTCTATGAAGGCACGGACTATACTGTCTTGCTTTGTCCCCAGTTAAGAACAGTGCCTGGGACTAGTTCTGGAGTGGTTGGAACTCAAAAAAGATGTATAACATGAATAAATACATTATTTCACTTAATTCTCATTTTGGGAAGAAAAAACCATCAAGATAACACTATTCTCCCCCTTTACAGATAAAGAAAACCTCAGATCATGTAACATCCTAAGATCAGGATATGCCCGGTAAATGGCAGACATTAAGAATTCAGACTCTGTTTGCCAGTTCACGCTAAATATTTAATCAGTGGTTGGTGGGTGGATGCATGAATGTATTTCTAGTGGAAATACCACATTTCTGGCAAAATTTTAACTCTGTCTTTACCATCGGGTAGAGTTTGCAAAGTCATCTTGCTTTCACAGGGAGTCTGGCTCTCTTTTCTTCCTTGCTGGAACTTCCACCTCTGCTAGCAAAAGAATAGTCTTGGAACAGTGATGGTGGGGACTCCAGCAACAAATCTCCTCCTGTGTCAAGTTTATTGAGAATCTCTGTTGTGACTATTGGCCTAGTCCTGTCATTTCTAGGTGACCTCTCAAATGGGGGAATAGAGTCCATTTCAATGGGTCTGAGTTCACTAATGTGCAGGATATGGGGAAACAATGAAATCAGACCTACGTTACAAATTCTGGGAAAAGGACTACTTTTTTTCCCCCTTGTTTTTGACTTCTTCCAATCTAAATTACAAATAAGGGTTAAGTCTTATCATCTCACTGAGGTTTGATAGCATTGAAAACAGTAGTGATGGATCAAGTATTAATACATTTTACCTCCTTGCTGAAAAAAAAAGAAGAAAGATAAACGGAGCATCTCTTGAAGTATTGTGGCTACTTTTGTTGCTTTTGACTCTTCTTCTCTAGTTTATTTTCCTTAACTTAGGAGTTGTCTGCTTGAATATGAAACTGAATCTTTTCTGATCCTTTCTTCTGTTTGTTGTCTCTCCAACAGAAAACACAGCATGCAGTGATAAAGCCTCAGGCACTCCATCCTCTGAGACACAAGAGGAGTTTGTTTATGACTTCCAAGTTGGGGAGCGAGTTTGGGTGAACGGGAATAAGCCTGGGTTTATCCAGTTCCTGGGAGAAACCCAGTTTGCACCAGGCCAGTGGGCCGGGATCATTTTGGATGAACCCACCGGCAGGAACGACGGCTCGGTGGCAGGAGCTCGGTACTTCCGGTGTGAGCCTCTGAAGGGCATATTCACCCGGCCATCAAAGCTGACGAGGGAGGCGCGGGCCGGGGCTGAAGCTGACGGCCCGCAGACGACTCCCGCTGCCAGGGCCCCTTCGCCTCCGTCCACTTCGGCAGTCAGCATGGCGTCCTTGTCCCCAGCCACCCCCTCACATATTCCCCGCAGATTGTCCCCCTCACATATTCCCCGCAGATTGTCCCAACCAACTGCAAAGGAACCTTCAGCTACAACTTTACGAAAACTGCCCGCAGAGGCCGGCTCAATCAACAAAGGAGAGAGAGGACTCAAAATCAGAGACCGGGTATTGGTGAGTGTAGAAACCTTCCGAGGTCATTGTGTTGACTTGAGAGATAATCACTGGCGAGGGGATGAAATACACAAGTGTGGGCTCATCATCTGTTCTGTTCACTCGTTTCTAGAGAAATTAATCAGGTTTTCTGGTTCCGTTTCTGTGAATATGCAACAGATTAGAAACTGGCTATGTAGTTTGTACATAGGATAAGCATAGGTTTGCAGTGATCAACCTAGTTTTGTCTTCCAGTTTAGCTAAAAGAATATTGAATTTTTAGTTTGTAAATATTAAGATAGCTTTATTTGACGAAACAAGCTGAGAGGTGGACTGAGATGTTTTTTAACAAAGGGTTTTTTTTTCCTCTCTGGTTTTTAATTTTTGCTTTCGGAATAGTATGTGGATAAATATGAGATCCTGTCTCCTTGAGTGTCTTGGAAAACTCAGACATCACAGGATGTTATTTCAGAACTTCTGTGCCTTATAAACTATCAGGTTTAGGTCCAGTAAAAGGAAGGAGATGTACACTAGGTTCTGTTGTGCTATAAAAGCAGGAAACACAATGTGTACAGTCTGTATGCTGTACATTTGAGTATCCCCGAATTTGACAGGATAATTGGTTTATTCTTTTTTTGTTTGTTTTACATAAGAGGCAGTATAGCAGTGCTAAAAACACAAGGTGAGTCTAACTCTGCCTTTATGACCTGAGCAAGTTATTTAACTTCTTAGTTTTCTTGTCTGTGAAAACAAGGTTGAATAATAGTGCTAACCTCTAGCATTGTTGTGAGGGTTAAAGTAGATGTTGTTGTTGTTGTTCAGTTGCTAAATCATGTCTGACTCTTTGTGACCCCATGGACTGCAGCATGCCAGGCCTCCCAGTTCCTAATTTATCTCCCAGCATTTGCTCAAGTTCATGTCCGTTGAGTCAGTGATGCTATCCAAACATCTCATCATTAGATGATGCATATATAATTCTTAGCAGTCAGCACTCAAGAGATGGTAGCTCTTTTTCTCACTGAAAATTTAAAGCTTTACTCTGTTACTTTTTCAACACTTTTGTTAAGTTCACAGCATAGCATTTGTCTGAAGCCTTTGACCCTGTGCTCTTTCAATATCCTTTATATCTGTTCAACTGCTTTAAAAAAAAAAAGGAAAAGAAACATGGCTGTTAGTCTTTGAAGTATCCCATGCATTTCATTTAATGTTTTAGCAGTGCATCCTTTATTTTTTTTTT